GGTTGGCAGGTGCTGTGTGTTTGTGTTGGGACAGTCCCTCTTCCCACCCGTACAGCTTGGTTTTGCTCTGGCATTTCGGCCACAAGCTCTGCATCAGCCCCATGTTCCAGGACAGCCTGCAGCTCTGGAGCTTGTCCCTGTACTCGCCTCCTCGCCGTTCTGTGTCACTGCCTCGCTCGGTCTCTCTGCCACCTGCACCCCTTTTGGCTCTGCTGCTGGCTCTGACTCCCCAGGACCCCATGTCCCCCCATGCCTTGGGGAGATGCGCCGGCCAGAGCCCAGGGGAACAGGTCTGTCCCCAAGGCCGGGAGCCCTGGGAGGAGGAGCAGGCGCCGGCCTCCCTGGCTGTCAGAGGGGAGCAGGCTGCGTCTGATGTCACTGCGGTGCATGGTGGGTAATTATGCACGTTGCAATGAAAATAATAAGGCCGGCTCCATAGCAGTGTCTAAAAATACTGCTAATGCGGAGTGCCTGCTGGGTGCCTTTGTTTGTCACCTTTGGGTGTTTGCTTTGAGGCTGGCTGGGCGGCGGGAGCCACGGTCTGTGGCGTCATGCCCCTCGGGCGGTGGGTTTGGTCGCAGGTGAATTGCGGCCCCTCTGCTTGGGCAGCGGTGCCAGTGGAGTAGGGGCAGGTGTTGGTGTGGGAGGTGAGGCAGGAGCCTCCTGGGTGCGTTTGGGATGCTCTGGTGTCATAACCCCCTGCTTGCAGCCATGCAGGGAGTCGTGGTGGCTTTGTCGCCCCCCAGACTTGCGTGGAGCCGGGCTCTGACATGTGGCTATTCCTGTGTCCTGGTGGCCTGCCCTGATGTCCCCTGGCAGGTACCAACGTGCTGGCCTGCCCGCAGGCAGGTTGGTGGAGATCGGGATTTGGGCCCAGGCAGTGCAGTCTGTCCATTGCCAGTGTGTGCTTGCGGGGACCGGGGCTGCCGGGATTTCTCCCTGGGGCTCTGCCTCCGCAGCGTGTCCTAGCACTGGCAGGATGGGGACTGTGGCATCTCACTGCTTTCTGGCTGAGCAAAGGCAGGAGGGAGGGATGTGTGTCTGGAGCAGAGGGAAATGGTGTGATGGGTGCTGGGTGGCACCTGGATGCTGGCCTGGGGCAAGGGCTGCCAGGGGTGCTGATCTCCGCTTTGTGGGCCGGCAGGCGCCCTGTCTGTCCACTGTCTGCGCAGCTCTTGCTGCTGCTATGGTCCCTCCATCTGGTAGCTCCCTGCTGCAGTGGAGGGAGAGGCTTGCAGGGGTAGCGAGAGCCATCTGGAGCCCCGGCTGCTCTAGCCACTGACCTGGCACGCTGCAGGGGCGAAGGTGGTGCGTGGCAGAGCAGCAGCGAAGGGTTGGGAAGAGCAGGAGTCCGTGTGCTTGGGTCTCCTCAATGAGTCTCTTCTGCTTTGTGTGTGGGGAGGTGAGAGAGGTGGTGGCTGCTCTTGGTTCCCATTTGATGCTTGCGGAGGGCTCTGGCTCCCGCCGTCGGCCACAAGAGCTGAGCCTCATCCCTCTTCACCTTGGAGCGAGTGGAGAGGCGTCACCCCGCCTGTGTGCTGGGCTGCCTTGCCTTTAGGATTGTGGGTGTGTTTTTGGGGCCCTGTGCTGGGCTCTCCCCTCGCTGGAGGGGGAGCATCGTCGCTGCCTCTGCTCTTGCCAGGCGCTAAATCTGACCTCTGAAGCCATGCATGTCAGTGATGTTCCCCTAAGCGGCGAAACACGCAGCCCCTACCTGCCGCGCTGTGAGGCTCCCCGTTGGTGAGTGAGGAACAAAGAACGGGGAGAGGAGACTTTGCGAATCCCCATTGATTTGCACCGTGGAAGCTGCCCGCTGTGTGTTTGTGTCTGCCTGCCTGGGACCGGGGCTCTGCGAGGGGAATTGATCAAGCTGTAAAACCCAGAGCCAGCTAATGAAATAGGGACTATAGATTTTTATTTTAAATGGAAGAGAGTTTAGGGGAGATTTAATTATCCCTGTTTTATGGACCTGTTAGAGGAATGAAATAACAGCCAGCAGGTAGGGCCTGGGCTTTGGCTCGCAGCACTTCTTTCAGGTGTGTGCAGAGCTGGCAGAGTCCTGCCAGCCTGGGGCAGCAGTGGGAGTGAAGCGAAGTCACTTGGAGCAGAACAGGACAGGGTGAAGTCCTGCTTGTCCTGTCAGGTGTCCCTGCTTCCTTGGTGGGAGTATCTGCACTCAAATAGCAGAGGGGCTGGCCCTGGGGAGGTGAGCTTCCAGCCCAAACTGGGGCTGGTGGAAGAAGAGCTCTCCTTGTCCCTGGGCCTTGGTGTGGGCCTGTCTTCGCATTGGTGGACATTGGAGAGTTTGGAAGCCCTGTGTTTGCTGGGCTATCTCACCCAGGTGTTGTTTCCCCAGGGCTGTGGGCACCGAGCTCTCACTAAAGCCTGTGTACCTGCACAGAGCGTGTGGGGTTTGTAAATGAGAACTGCAGAGCGCTGGGATTTGCTGGGCTTAGCTGTGTGTCGGACACAAGCTGTAACGCTGTCACTACAGCCACTCCTACTGTGTGCATCCACTTCATCGTCACGTGAGACCGGCCGCGGGGCACGGCTGGGGAGGTGGTGGCTGGGCAGCCAGTGGTGAGCAGCACAGCACTGGTTTTCAGCAGAAAAGCATCGAGCTTTTGGATGCTTTTGGGTTTTCATCTCTGAATCAAGGAGCTGGTGCATGATGTTTTCCCACCATCCCGTGGCTCCCTGCTCGGGGCGAGCTGGAGAAATGTGGTTTGTCACCTGCCCTGTGTAGGTGAATGGTTGGCCAAGGGATTTGTGTACCTATGAGGCAGGCACAGCACACAGCATGCCAGTTTGATGTGTCAGAGACTGCTAAAACATCTGAGGAAGCCGCTGGTGCTGGGGACCCCTCCCAGAGGCCCTGTGACACTGGCCTGGCAGGAGCTCAGGAGAGCCAGGCCCTAAGCCCTGCAGTCATCGAGCTGCATGAGGATGTTGCACGGTTCCCCAGGACAGGTCAGTTCTGGTGAGGAGCAGCATGGATTTGTGCTGTTGGCTTGCAAGGGTGCTGGGAGAAGCCAGCCTGACAACTCTCCGGGCAGCAGAGCCACCCCAGGGTGCTTATCCTTTCTTTCACCCTTTCACCTGCGAGTCCTCAGCCTTTCAGAGCGGGAGCCATGTCCTGGAGGGCACGAGCAGCCCATGCGGGCCTGTGTCCAGTGTGGGGTATCTGAATTTTCTGGAGTGGAGTGGTTTGGGAGGGCTCCCCGCTTCGCTGCATGCATGGCAGAGGGTGAGGCGAGCAGTGTCCCCAGCAAGCAGCTCTCGTGACAGGCCTTGGGAATATTACTTTCCAGCTGCAGCCTGGTCCCTGGAGACCTGGCCTCACTGGCCGCAGAGCTATAGCTGTGGGCTTTCCTCAGCTACCCTAGAAAGCAGGACAAGGGATTTCAGCTTGACCGTGCAGAGCGGAGGACTGGCCTGTGATGCTGCATGCTAGGAGCTGCTTCCTCTCGGGTGAGCCTGTGTGGTGGTGACCCAGGGCTCCAGCACCTCTCGCTGTCACCCCCAGGAAGGGAGGGCCCGTGCTTCAGTCCTTCCTCCCCCCAGCCTGGCATCACTGAGCCACGGTCCCCTCCGGCAGGTTGTCTTTTCCCTGCTGTGCTGGTGGGGCTCCCTGGCTGTGTTTGCATTTTGAGCCGAGTGTCTGAGTTGCTTTTCTCTCCGTGTCTGCGCTTTGGGAAAGTGGCGAACAATAAAAATCCGCAGGCGAGAGCTGTAGCAGAGGTCAGCCAGCTCCTGTGCCCCAGGCTGCTCTGTTGTCACCGCACAGTCGTGCTTTGTGCACAGGGGCTGTCAGCTTGGAATTCATGTTTTTGCTCTTAAAACCATCCCCAGGCACTGGTGTGGGGTTCTCTGCAAGTAGTGTACTGGGGAGGTATTGCAGCAAGCCTCCTTCCCACTTAAGTCAGTGGTCCCCGCCTGTTTCGGTGCATCTTTGTAAGTAGCCTCTTGGCAAATATTAAATCAAGGACAAAAGAGGGTAAATGGTTGTTGAAAATCATGAATTTCTCTGAGCTCCTTTCTGAAAATGATCGTTGCAGGTTGTCAGTGTCCCTGCAGGCTTCTTAAAATGCAAAACAAAACACCCAGCCCAACTTCCTGACTGTCACTAGCGCTTTCAAGAGACGCTTCGTTTTGCTGAGTGGTAACGGAATTGCTCTTTGCCATCCACCAGCTTCTGGCTCTGCCTGTATCCTTTTGCTGGAGCCACGACACCAGACACTGCTGCTCTGCCTCCTGCATGCCTGTGGCAGAAGGGCAGCAGGGAGGGAGGTGGAGAGGTCCAGCCTAAGCCCAGCCGGCTGAGCAGTAGGGAAGGTGTCTGGAGCCCAACCCCTCCTGCTCTCGGCCGCTTGCTTGGCAGACGCTATTAACACTGTCCACAGCATGTAGAGAGCGGTCTGGACTCAGAAGGATGTTTGTGGAGAGGTGGCAGGTGAGCTGGGGACTCCCAGGGATGCTGTGTGGGGATGGGGAGTGGGGGCTGGAATCCCTACTGCCTGGGCTGGCTCTGCCCGAGGAGAGATTAGATGTGTTTTAGGAAAGAGCTGTCTGAAAAGAGAACTAAAACATGAAGGGCAGAGGAGTATGGAGTCCTGAACCACAGCGTCTTGTGGTAGGAAGGAGGGGAGGACCGGGGAGGCTGCCCAGACAGCAGGTTGGGGACGGACGTGGTGGCGTTCCTTCTTCTCTCCCCACCCACGTGCAACTGAGCTGCGGAACCAGCTGCTGCAGGACGCCAAGACAGACAGAGGTGAGCGTGGTTCAAAGTGCTTCTGTCCAGGGGAGAAGAGTCTACCTAGGAGAGCAGAGGATATGACCCATTGATTGCTAGATGCTGCTGAGCTACAGAGGTACCCGAGCTGGACCCAGCTGCTGCACCAGCAGCCTTCTGGTCATGCTATTCAGGGCATGCCAGTATTTCTAGGGCAAATGAAGGAAGGTGAAGATATCTCTGCAGATTATTTACCCTGTCCTGAGGAAATGAAGGCTTGTGCAAGCTTACTGTGTTTGCGAGTCTTCTCTTCTCTGCTTTGAACTTGCTGAATGATGTCGGTTGTGGTAGATGTCAGGTGTGGTAGCTGCCTCAAAGGTCTCGGCTTGCTACAGGCTCTGGCTCGTCAGGAGGAAGATTCTGCTAGTTCTCCCTCTGCAGTGCAGCTCTGCCTTGCTATTAGACATCAGAGAATCCACGTGGGAGAGATCGACAGGAAACCGGGCGTTATCAGTTCCGCTGCCTGTGCAGCTACTCGCTCCTCATGTCAGCATCCTCCACGTGTGTGTGGCTGGAGGCGTTTGACGGGAGTGCTGTCAGTCCGGGGGTGTGAGTGGGTGGTGTGTGATCGCGGCAGAGGCGTCCTGCCTCCACTGCCAGCGAACTCAGCTCCACCTGGGTGTGCGGAGCGGGGAGGGAGCTCCTCACACCACCACCACCCGCCCCGTCTCCTCAGCTGAGAAGTGCTTCACCCTCCGGTAACTGCTGATGTTGGGGTGTCCCATGCCCCCCAGTGCTTTTGTCAGGCCTTGGGAAGGGTGGGGACACTCCTGCTGTCACCCCTGCAGCCTGGGAGCTTCTGGGTGCTTGGTGCTGGTTTCTTCCCGCTTGTTTTGCAGGTACTGGGAGGGGAGAGAAGGATCTGAGGCCTCTTCCTTTCCCTGGACTTGGGGGAGAGTCTGGGGAGAGCACGGAGACAAGCCGTTGGCACGCTGGGTGTTGGGTAGAGGACGGGGTAGAGCGTACCTCCAGTGGGAGATGTGCTCACGCCACTCAAATCACCCCAGCTAATCCTATGACAGACCTGACCTATATATGGGGCAAGGGAGGCGGCATGTCTGTGGCAGCAGATGGTGTCTTAAAGAGCCTGGGCTCGGGGCGGCTTTGGTTCTGCTGGCCCCTGGCTCTGGCTGCCCGTTGGCTGCAGAGCAGATGGGTTCAGCCCGAGCAGCCCCTCCAGCTTTCCAAGGCTGCTGCTGCCTGGCCCGGGGGGTTCTGCTCACCTGGGGTGTCACAGGTCTCCGTGGCTGGAGTGGGAACCGCTTGTCCTGGCTCAGGAGCACTGACCAGTGCTGTTGTCCGTGGCTAGCCTTGCTGTAGCATCTGAGGGGTGTTGCTTGGCCTCATCACAGGGCCCTTCCAGGTAGAGCTTCCGGACCTGAGACAGCATGATGTTGGTGGCTGTGTGTGCGGCTGTACTCCTGAGATGGTGTGGGGCAGGCATGGGCTGAGCTGCTTCCACGTGCTCTAACCCTGCAGCTGGACACGTGGTGCCCTGTCCTCACAGGAGCTGGCTAGGAAGGCTCGGCACAGCCATGCATGGCATCGCTGCACTCAGTTCTGCCACAGGAACCATCCAGCCTGGCTGGGCAGGGAGCACAAGCAGTGCCTCACCAGCGAGCCGTGCTCCATTGATGGTTTCTCCCGACACTGTCCTGAGGACATCGATAGCTGCTGGGGAAGTGGTGACGCTGGATCAGGTTGGGAGGGAGTGTCTGCACAGATACTCACCATCTGTGGCCTCTGCCTGCTGCCGGCGCTGCCCAGGGCCAGACCACGTCCTGCCAGCATTGTAAAGGTGCGATGCTGCAAATAGTGGCAAGGTCAAAGTGCAGAGTGCTGTTCTCCTCCTCTTCCCTCTAGTCTCCAGCTCTTGAAGCAAAGAGGCTGTAGTGGAGCAGACCTTGAGGGTGATCGTTCAGGTCTGGGCTGACGATTCAGTCCTCTGGCTGTTTCTTCGTGGCGTGCTGTGTGAGCACGCGGGTCTGACCCCGCCATAGGTCTGCCCCCTGCCCTGCCGTGCTGCTTTCCTGTCCTGTGTGTCCCCTACCATGGGGTCAGAAGCAGTTGGCTGTGGAGCTTGCCCCAGGATGCTCCATGTCCCCAGGGGATCCTTGAGGCTGCTGTGGTTCCTCCTGTGTGCCTGGATTCGGGGTGAGAGGAGAGACCTGGGAAACTGGCCTTCAGAGGGGCCTGGAGGGAGCTGGGCTCGGGGCTGGGATGGGGCAAAACTGAAATCCGACTGCTCATCGCAATGATGAGCCTACTGAATTGTTAAATCATTGCCACCGATCTGAGGTTTTCTTTAAAAGGGGTGATGTTACAAATTAATTAGCTCCCTTTTGGTTGTTAGCACTTTAAAGCCCAGCTGTCAGGGGAGGGCTGGTTTATAGGCATTACATCAGGGCTGCCGGCTGGCTCGCTCGCCTACCTGGGAATTTCTAAGAGTATGTTGTAACCCGTGGAAGTTTAGCTTGGATGCAGCATCTGGCTTTCAGCAAAGCTGCTGTGATGCACTCTCCTGTACACAGGGGTTTGACTGGCGCTGAGCGGTGCTGCCGGGGGCACACGGGGAGCCGGTGGCACAGCCTCTCAGTGTTGGTGTTAGCCACCAGCTGGGCCACTTGCTGAGCTGACCTGCAGCAGATGCTCCAAGGAGTTCCTGCTCCTCATTTAATCGAGGGGGGAGGGAGAGCAGGAGGCTTTTCTGGTGCCTGGAAATGTGAATTGGGTAGAGATGCCCTGGGAGAGCTGCCTATGCCCGGCAGGCTGTCGGTGCAGGCGAGGAATGGATGTGCCGAGTGGGAGTGGAGCAGCTTCTCCATCCTGTCCCGGTACAGGAGGCTGGCGGGGAGCCCGGCTCCTGCCTTCACCTACCCCTTTTGCCCGGGCTTTTCCACCGCCCTGGCAGCCGGAGCACGGCGCGGGCTGGCCGGGAATGCCTGCACACACCACGGTGCTGCTGTCCCCCGCGGCCCACCGGGCTCACCGAGGTGCCAGCCCGACCGGCTGGGACCTGGCGGGC